TTCTCATCACCTGGTGTCGCATTCCCAAAGAGATCATAATGTTTCTGCCCTCCACGACCACGAGCATATGATCGCAATGCTAAAAGCATTCAATGTCCAAATGCATTAGTATGGAAAACCGGATACATTAGAATAAATCAATCCAGATAGCTACGGTAACAATTCCAAAGCTTTATAATTTACCGACACTACAATTCCCACGCATAACATTATGCATCTCACTTCAATTGCGAAGAATATCAGAGCAAGTAAGGAACATTAAAATTGGAATCTAACCATTAAAATTAGGGAAAACCCCGAAGATAGCTTGTAATCTTGAAGTGCTTACGACTGGATAAGAGAAAGTTTCAAATCTGAAACTGAAAAAAATGGAATTTTCAGATTCTGCAAGCAAGTTGGACATCAAGATGCAGAAACCAACTGTTAAATAACCAAAAAGAAGAAGAACTGAAACAAACAGAATTTGCAAAATGTAGAGTGAGTAGAGTCCTCACCGTGAAAAAGTTGGCTGTAGCAAACGAGTTCCTGAGGTTCTGAAGAGAGAAGGTAGAACGAGGCGGGAACAAAGCCTACAGGCCATTACCTGCGAAGGCGATTTATTTCAATCACATTAATTAGTTCGCTGCTTCGATTGTATAAAGGAGTGCCGCCGCCTGAAATGAAACGGCGACGATAGATGAGGATCGTTAGAAAGTAGATAGGCGAAAGAGAAGCGCCGCCGGCGAGGGTCAGAAGTCGGAGAACAAAACTGGAGAGATGAAATAGGGGAAGAAGCAGAAGGGAAGAAGGCGCCACTCCTGGCATTCGGCAACCATTGGATGTTTCGTAAACGGGGAGTAAGCCAGGTGTTTCGGAAATTTGGGCTTTATGGGCTTTTTGTTGTGGACTAAATTTTGGGCTTTTTGTTGTGGACTAAATTTTGGACTCCAATATAGTCTAGAAAGGGGTAAAATGGGCTTATTCATTTGTAAGAAAGCCCATAAAAAATGGGCTTCCATCACTGTTTCATATTTTTTTCCTTTTTTTGCGAAAATGATTGACAAATTGTTTTATATATCAATATAATTACTAAAATATAACAAACATAACTTAAAATCAATTTAATCATACAAATTATAATTTTTAATAGTATATAGTTGTTTGAAAATGTGTTGTGAAAGTGTGCAATTTATTTTAGCAAAAAAGTGTAGCTATTGGATTAGGTGGCACCTCTTCATTCACAATTGGTGTTTTCTAAACTGTACAAAATACCAAATTCTTATTTTAGTGTCCAATACATATGTATTTGCAGTTGCACTCTTGACCCTTTTTATGTATGGAAAGGGCATAAAATCATGATTAGGTAATTTCCCTTTATTGTATAATAAAATATGAAATAGAAGATGGCTATTTTTCTTGTCTAAATCACTCTCTACTTAATCAAGAGTTTGAACTCAAAGTCTCTGTGAATTCTTACCAACTTCTGGTTGCTCCACCTTATCTTGATTTTTTTTTAATATTTATTGTTCGAATATTTTTATGTGAATTTTTATACATTTTGAGATTATTTCTTTCTTAAATAATTTTAAAAATATAATTTATATTGACTTATTGTATTTAAAAATATTAATTTTTTTAAAATATTAATTTTAAAATTTAAATTATAAATTTAACTTACGTATAAAACAACATTAACTTATTAATGAATTTAATCTTTGGTTTCCACCGCATCTCGATAAATTGTCAAATTGATGTCATAAATAAATTAACCCAACACTACATGACTTTTTCAGCCAGCTTTCTCAATTCAAACATCAATCGAAATCATTTTGTGACTTTCATGGAGGTTGAGAGATAGAGAGTAATCATGACCAAGTTTTTGGGCTGCGCAGATAAGGCCACATTACCAATACAATATATATATATATATATATATCAAATATAAAATTATTTTTTTTCTTTTTTTTTTAGCAAAGATAAATTTTGAAATGGAGGATTGAACCACCTAATGAGATTGGACGATACACATCATTATCAATTGATCAATAAAACGCAGGTGTGTATAAAATTACATTTGTTAAACTCTCAAAATCTATACATGTTAAAAGTTTTTTTTTCTTTTCCATATAAATAATACCTTACTACTATATTATAAAAGTCTCTAAAATTCTTAATAAATCATCAATATATACTAAATAATAATAATAAGTTTGTTGTTGCTGAATATCCTCAAGTTCCTACTTCGGGCTGATTTTTCTTCAAGTGGTCCTGCAAAATCACGAGGTTGGTACTCAGGGAGAAACTCCGATGCTAAAGTTAGTATTTTCTAATCATCTTTTTCTCTCTTTGTTTCGCCTATTTATCGAGCCTTACCTTGTGGGTTTTGTCCATCTTGGCAAGGCATCCATGTGGCTTGTCCACACCCACGTGGTCTAGTCAATCCAATAATGGTGATATGGTGCGTCTGATGAAGTAGACGTTTTAGGTGAATGTAACATGCCTTAACGGAGCAATCGCATTAAATGCGCGTGGTGCGGTCTGACGGAGCAGGTTCATTGAGAAAAGATGTTCTGATATGAACAAATGATCAGATGAGAGCGTGCCTATTGTGGCTGCCATGCACCCACAACAAAATATCAAGGTGTGGTAAACTCTGAGCTCTGCAGTTGAGGTGCGGTTAGCTCTGAGCTCCGAACCTTGCCTTGTGTCTCGCATAGCTGTCCTTACAAAGTTGTATACGATACTTCAATTAATATAAGGAGACTAAGCCTTTACCTTAACCATGGACAACTTCAACTAAAAAATAATATCAACTTTTCATGAAATGCAATCAAACTAAAGAAAGACAATGGTTTGCTTATAGTAGTAAGATTCATGCCGTGCTGATCAAAAATGAAAAAAAGTTCGACGCATGCCGTTTCTCAGAAATTAAACAATCATTTCATGATCTCCTTGCAGCTTTCCCTTTCAGTGCTTTGGCTGTCGTCTGTGTCACAATTCTCGATGGCCGACTCCTCCAGGAAGGTCCTGAGTAATAAACCATTCATCAATTAATAATGCGGTAGCCTCATCATGCACTGAGCTATCAAAATTTACCATTCTTTTGCCACACCCAATAGAATAATGTAAATGTCCAATCGGGATCAACCAAGACCACTAAATAATTTACTTGAATATATTAGTATTACAATATCTTGATCTTTAAAATGTTAGAATTGGTTTTAAAATTAATTAGATATTTTAAATAATTTTTGTTTACTATAAGAAAGATTATTAATAAGTTAATTTTTATTCAAATACGTTGAAAAGTCAACTTGATGATCATGTGTTGCGTTCTATCTTATTTTTTACACTAAAAAACATAACTACTTGAATCATATGAGGAATGCCTTTATACATATTAATTCATTAAAAATAATTAAAATTTTTAACAATTTAAATAATTTAATACTTTTCAATAGAAATAAAAGGTTTTCAAGTTGAATCGTATAATATACAAATGAAAAATATTAAAAGACAAAAAAATATTATCTATCATTATATAACTTGAAATAATAAAAAAAATATCTTTAAACTAATTTATTAAAAATATTTAAATCTTTGCGTTAACATTCTTGACATCTTAATTACAAAACTTCGTGAACCTTTAATTCCTATATAAAAATATGATGCGTTGGCATTGTTTTTAGGTGTCTCCGAGTTTTCTTAGAACTGCATCAACTTTGCTATGGCAACAACCATCTGCAACACTCCCTTCTCCATGGAAAGGAAAACTGTTGTGCTTGTTAAGCCCTTGGAACCTACGCCTCCCGAAGTTCTTTCTTTCTCCTCCAGCGACAACGATCCCAACATGGAGGACCTCTATCAATCTGCTTACGCGTATAAAGCACATGATAATCAAAATTTCGCTGTTGGCAATATTGGTCAGGTGGCGGATCCAGCTTGCATAATTGAGGAAGCTCTCTCTCCAAGGTCTTGGTTTATTATTTTCCTATAGCAGGGAAACTGAGGATGGGAAGTGATGGAAGGCTTCAACTCAAGTGCACTGCTGATGGGGTACCTTTCGTAGTGGCAACTGCCAGTTGCCAACTCTCGTCTCTGAATTATCTAGAAGGGATTGACAATGAAATTGCTAGACAATTTGTCAGTGATTTTAAATGTGAATCCGATTTTGGTTATCACCTTCTAATATTTCAAGTGACCAAATTTTCATGTGTACGATTTGCTGTTGGAATGAGCTTCGCGCACTCAGTTTGTGTTGGGGTCGGCGCAGCGCAATTCTGTCGAGCTCTAACTGAGCTTGCCAGTGGGAAGAGTGAGCCTCCCATAAAACCTGTTTGGGAGAGGGAGAGATTGGTAGGAATTCCTACTCAAGAACCCTTCCATTTCCTTGTGGATAAAAGTTCTTTAGCAACTTCGCCATACTTGCCTACTTCAGACATCGTCCGTGAATACTTCAACGTGACTGCACACGGTATCGAAAAGCTCAAGATTAGTATGATGGAAGGAAGTGGCAAATGGTGCTGCACAGGAAAGATTCACCACAATGGAGGTCCTCGTGCGTATGTTTGGAGATCAAGGTTTATAGCTTTGAAGTTGGATGCAAATGGAAACTGCAGCTTACATGTAGCTGTAGGTATTAGACGTCTGCTGGATCCGCCTTTGGCTGATGGATACTATGGGAATGCTTTTATCTTTGCTTACATTAATCTGCAAATATATGGTTTGTTCTGTTGGTAAAGGTCCTACTAAGGAATTTATCCCATTAGCCGCCGCTTTAGCACATGGCAGACGTTTAGCTTAAGGTCCTTTTCTGCTTGCTTACTTGTATAGAAATTGTTAAGATGTCACAGTTTACCCCTTAGGCAGTAATGGTGGGCCACTTTGGATTCTGCAACTATGGCTTTACTTTTATTTCCCTGCACTTGCTCCTGTTTTGTCTACTGTACCAAGTCAATATCTGCTTACTTACGGCTTAATGTTTAGAGATGCCACAGAAAATAAGAAAAATTTTGAGGAATGCTTCAGATTTTTTGCTTCTCTTCCCCTAGAGAGACCTGAAGCAGATTTTGCTTTGTGATAGGAGAACCAGACATTTTAACAAGCAAACTTCCAAAATATGAGCAGAGAGGGTAGCTGTGGTTAAATGAAAATAGTGACGGAAATGGAATGTCTTGGCAGTATCCAAGCTGTCGACAGAACTAGTTCGACGCATAATGCTCGGTACCACATTTGAAATTGAGAGCATTCAGATTACAACCTACAAATAGATCCTGAGAAGTTACACAGGCAGACTAGAATGCTCCGAAATCTGATATCAGCCTTGTACCAAGAAAAGCCATGAGATCTGTTTTAGAAACACAACGAAATCTGCATCAGGTCTGTCTAGGGGGAGAGAAGCAAAAAATCTGAAGCATTCCTCAAAATTTTTCTTATTTTCTGCAGCATCTCTGAACATTAAACCGTAGGTAAGCAGATCTTGACCTGGTACAATAGACAAAACAGGAGCAAGTGCAGGAAAATAAGAGTAAAGCCATAGTTGATGAATCCAAAGTGGCCCACCATTACTGCCTAAAGGGTAAGCCTTGACATGTTGACAACTTCTATACAAGTAAGCAAGCAGAAAAGGACCTTAAGCTAAATCTACCGTGTGCTAAAGTGGCGGCTAATGGGATAAATTAAGACCTTTACCAGTAGAACAAACCATATATTTGCAGATTAATGTAAGCAAAAATGAAATATGTTCTTAAACGCTTGTAGGCTTACTGTAGTCACAGGCAGATCTCAAGAAAGCTGGATAAGAGGGCTTCAGATCTTTGTGGTCATAATCAACACCCGGTGACATGGTTCGAAGTGCAAAAATTTCTTCTCTAGTGCAAGGCAACCCAATTAGTGAACTGATGTTGAAGAGACTTACAGACATGGCTCTGCAGGGGAAGTGGAAGCAATTGAAAGAACCAGACCAAAAGAGCAAAGTAGAACTCAAGATTGACCTATCCATGACAAATCTGCACTTGGTTAGTTGAATAAACTCATACAAGCTCATATCCCTCCAGATTTGGCCGAAATCTGGTTCTAGGCGATCTACCCAATCAACCCATTTCGATTTTCTCCAAGATGGCCAAGATTTGAATTGGCCAATCCACTTGCTCCAATCGGGTTTTACCTGAAAAGGAAGAGGATGGTTTTTGGTTGTGGGTATACAAATCCAAGTGAAATAGGTGGAGAGGAAATGAAATAATGACCCAAGATTTGGGATTTCATATGAGGAACAAACACTTGATCTGAATGGCCAGCCTTGCGGTGGTTGAGGATTTGTTTGATTTCACTTTGGAGATTTTTGGTTTGAAAGAGACTAACCAGATCTGCAGGGGGTGGTTTCTTGGGTTGAAAAGATTTAATTCCAGCTATGGTAGCAGCAGATTCTGCAGGAAGAGGCTGTTCTTTTTGGTCGCTGTCCATGGTTATAGTAAATCTAGGTGGGAGGAAGAAAAGATGAGGAGATTGGCGGCGTCCTGAGGAAGAAGAAAGTGTTAAGTAGTAAATTTGACTTTTAAATTTTAAAAATCCTTATTTTTTGGGATTTTAAAAATGTAAAAGTCTAAAAGGGAATTTAAAAAAAAAA